TGAATGACTCGTAGTTTGTAAAGAGCTTTGAGGAGTTGAGGAGATTTATAAGAACAGACCATTCACCGTATTCACGATACAGCCTCATGTGATTCATTTGCATATTTCTTTGCTTCAATCACCCCCAGAATCAGGGGGTAATAAACGTTGAAGGCCTACCCGAAAGGGGCGTTCTTCTTGAGGATGGAGGGCGGCTGGGCTCCGGGGAGAGGGATGTCCTGGATGTGGATGTTGGAGGGAGCGTGAGGCATGTCTGGCAGAGGGATGCTGTCCACCTCCACTGACTCTGCATTCTGAAACCAAAGCATTCGTGCATTCTGGTTAAAAGTGACATTTTGACTTTCTTAACTCATTCTAATGTTCTGTTGATAGGATATACAGATTTAATACATATCTGTATTTTTGTATTTGGGATTGTTGGAAACGTCATTTCGATCTCTCCGTCTGTACACACAAACTGAAAGACTGACATTAAAGTTAGCATCCTGCGGTTTCTACGTGCTGGGGACCGTACTATTCATTTCCATCATTAAGCGTTGGGTATTCAACATGTCTGGGTCCCAATAGGCTGCATGAGCTGCAACAGACTATAACCCTTCTAACCTATAGATAACTTCAATCAAATCCATTGATCAAAATGTATATCATCTTATTTGACTTATTAACGGTCCCCAGTCCCTTCACTGCAAACCCGTGACTTGAAATGAGGCGAACAGAAAACCGATCCAGAAACCTTGACGGAGTCGAAGTAGAGCGCCAGCTGCCCTCGTTTGGTCTCGTAGTCCAGCTCCACTTTCCGCAGCTCCTTGTACGTTTCGGGGTTTTCTCTCTCGTACAGACGGACGATGCGTTCAAAGGTCTCGCGGAGTTTCTTCCTCTTGTCCCGCAGAACTTTCTCATTCAGCAACGGCTGCTGGACCGGGTTGAACTCTGTTGGAGGTGTAACGAGAAACGGCCTTTTTAATAATAATAATAAAACATGACACTTATAGCGCTTTTCTAAAAACTCAAAGACGCTTTGACGGAGACGAACAAAAACAGAAAAGAGGGGGCGGGTATTTGAATTGAATAATGAGTAAAAGCCTTTGAAAGACTTGCGTTGAAATAAGTATTCAAAGTCAAAGAATTGTAAGGAGGTAACACGTAAATCTAAATAAAGTATTTCATTCAAATGTACATGTTACATCCTAGAATGTATTTATAAAGCCTTTAGGGCTGGAGTCAGGTTTTCCTCGAACATCTTCCTGAGTCACATTTCATGGTATTTTTACTTGACTTCATTTCATTTAACATCCCATCGACGGTGATGCCCTCATCTTAGGCCTTCACAAGAGAAAGCACTTTTATAATCATGCATTAATGTTGCAGGTGGAAAAGGTGGAGCTCACTTGACTGACGGGAAAGGCGTCTGTTTTGCGTCTAACTTGAAATCACTTTTGATAGTTGTTGGGAAAACACTGAGTGTCCTCCTCCAACATGAGAGTAGCATGCTAACAAGGGTACCCCAACTGTAGCTGTGAACATGACAGCATGTGTGATTACCTAGAAGAGCATCAGGACTGTTTGAGGCAGATGATAGCTATGTGATTAACATGATGATTCAGCCTCTATGGAGAGAGACATCAAGCATGCTCATTTCTGACGTGGAGCTAATCTGAAGTAAACATTGAATACTGCTTTCTATTCCTCCATCTTGTGACTGTGTAACTCCCTCTCTTGGATATCAGCATGTGAAGGACACTGCTCAGGAACTAGTCTCTGTATGTGATGACTCCTTCCATTCTGGAGAGGATCACAGATACATGGATCCTGAGGCTGAAGGCGGGGACGAGTGAGATCTTTCCAACAGTAGTAAACATGTATGCAGCCAGGTATAACAGCACTTCCTCAGCAACATAGAAGCCTCTCCCCTCACCCATCTCATCCAGCTTCTCCATGTCTTTGATGATTTGTCGGGGGTCTTTCATCTTCAGCACCGCCGCTCTCACCATCATCCTCTGCTTCTTGTTCTAGAAGGAGCAATTACAAATGTATTTTCTTTAGTTGAAACATGAGCACTTGAGTCCGTCGTGGAAGTGTTCCAGATACAAACATACAAGAGCTCATATAGCGGAGTCAAATCAATCAAATGAGCACAACTAAAACACACAGGCAGCACACACACACACACACACACACACACACACACACACACACAGCACACACACACAGACTATTAAGCACATTGTAAGATAACAAAGACCATGGCATGTGTGAGTGAGTGAGAGAGTGTGTGAGTGAGAGAGTGTGTGAGTGAGAGTGTGTGTGTACAAGTGTGTAAGTGTGTGTGTGAGTTTCTGTGTGAGTGAGTGAATGTCAGTGAGTGTGTACGAGTGTGTGTGTGTGTGTGTGTGTGTGTGTGTGTATGTAGGTGAGCGAGTGAATGTCAGTGAGTGTGTACGAGTGTGTGTGTGTGTGTGTGTATGTTAGCTTCCCTAGAGCAAGTGGTGCTGCTCTGCATGAATGGGTGAATGACTCGTAAAGCTTTTTGAGGGGTTGAAGAGACCTGATAGAGACGTAGAAGTACAGCCCACGTCTACATGTTCTGCTAATGTATTATTAAAAACCGGCTGCTCCTCCGTTACTGCAACAGGAATCTTTTTCAAACTAAGTGCAATGTTGTACACCACACTTCCTTCTACACTGATTTTATTGTATAAATACTGCTGCTTCTTACTCTCTACCTGAATGTGGACTTCTGTACATTATAATATATTTTTTATTTTAAGTTCTATGTGCATGGCTTTTTGAATAATAGTATTCTGCATTCTCTCTCTCTATACTTTGCTGTAACAATGTACATTTCTCCTTTGTGGGACGAATAGAGGAAATCTGATTCTGATCATTACAAACCCACATAAGCAGTGAAAAAAGCCAACGGGCCGAGACAATTAGGAAATAAAGTTATAATCCCTACATCAATGTTATCATCGAAGGAACGTTAGTGTTGTGTTTTAAGATGAACGAGTAGGTTAAAGGGTGTCTGATGTTTACCTTTTTTAACTCCCTTTTCCTGGCCTCCTTTCCTGTAAAGAGGGAAAGCAAGCAGTTATCATTTTGACAACAATAGATATTGACTTTGTATTTCATGATATATGTTGCATCGTTGGAGGAGCTCAGGTCAGAAGAGTTTCATTGCCAGCTTTGAGCGTATGATGATAAAACCTGTGGGTCGGTACTTACTGGCCTGGTCGGTGGGATTCATGAACTTCCCACTCTTGGTGGAGGAGGTCGAGCGTCGCCCCATTGTGTCGCTGCGTCTCCTTCACCTGCAGAGAGAAAGCCCAACGATGGTGGACGGAGAAGAAAAAACAAACGCTATGCACATACATTCCAATGACTCCTACATAGACTCTTCTTGCACTATTGTATCTGTTTTGTGGTTTGAAGGCCAAAGATTCATGAGGGAAGTCTGACAACAGGTTGCGTCTCACATGTATTTATACTACAATAAGCAGTATTTATTTGAGTGTTTAATTTTACATTATGTTCTTGTTTATCTCATTCTATGTCCCTGCATTAACTTGGTCACCTGCGACCTTCTCTGCGACATTTAGCTTATTGTATTTACATGTTCTTACATGTATATCTTGTACTTCCCCTGCACATTGGTCTTGCAAGATAATCTGCACTATTGCATGTCTACTGATTATATATTCGTATGTCTTATCTGTATTTATGTTGCATTGTTGGAGGAGCCTGGGACTTACGGTGCTCCTTCCCATCACCTCACTGTCGCTGTGCATATGACAATAAAGCTTTTGAATCTTGAATCTGAAAGTGACGGTTAGTAACTGTTAGCTAGCAAGTTAACAGTAAACCTATGGCGAACACACAAGCAAAGTCCCTCTAATTTATATAATTATCTTATATACGATATAGTAAAACGCAGCAGGAGTTTAAAACCAGCTTCCAGACATTATGAAGTCAGAATAATGATATAATATCTAACTCTTTGCGGGTTCTGCAGCATTAGGAGCTACATGCTAACTGTTAGCTTTGGGCCGCGTTGGCATCGATAGCAGAAATAAATACTTAACCTTTTAATAAAGAAAAAAATCCTGTAAGAGCACAAAGCCCCGCACGCGCTGCTCAGCGTATCAGAAGTAAATAAAGACACGTGTTGTTTCTGAAAGAGGTATCCAAAGTCTTCTATATGCAGCCGTTAGCCATCCGCCATGTTTACTGAGCGAGAGAGAGACCGGAAGTGGGTCATTTGACGTCATCAAAACTCGTCGCTATGGTAGCGAGTTTTTATCGCTTTTTAATATTACAATATTTCTTACAGGGAATATAGAAAGTATACATTCCTATTTAAAAAATATATATATTCTAATATTAATTAAATAATATAAATAAATGAAAAGGAGGTTTCCTGAGAAGATTTACACTTTGAGGTACTTGTACTTTACTTGAATATTTCAATGTTATGCTACTCTGTACTTCTACTCCACTACAGTTCAGAGGTAAATGGTGTACTTTTGCTCCACTACATGTATTTAATACCTTTAGTTACTTTACAGATGTGGATGAATGATGTGAAATATAAATGACTACTTTTACTGTCGCTACTTTCACTATATTTTGATGAGAATACTTTTCTATTTTCACTTGAGGAACATTTTGAATGCAGGACTTTTACTGTAACAGAGTATTCCTACACTCTGGTACTTCTATTTTTTGCTCAAGTACAAGATCTGAGTACTTGTACTTTTACTCAAGTAAAAGATCTGAGTACTTCTCCTTTTACTCAAGTAAAATATCTGAGTACTTCTCCTTTTACTCAAGTAAAAGATCTGAGTACTTCTTCTTTTGCTAAAGTACAATATCTGAGTACTTCTACTTTTACTAAAGTACAGATCTGAGTACTTCCACTTTTAATCAGTAATACAGTATATTGCCATGACACTCCGATACAGCAGGTGGCGGTATGCACCTTACAACTTGGTTTGCTTCCTGCCAGAAAAACCAAAGAAGAAGATGAAAAACCAGGGCACTTCCGTATTGGCTTCACTTTTCGGACCCGGAGCAGATCTTCTTCTTCTTATTGTCTGGAATTTATTTCGGTTACAAAATGAGTTGTTCATCCATGGGATGTAATAATAGATCCTCTAAGCGTTCCGGTGTTAGTTTTTTCCGGTAAGTTTCTTGATTTTGTTTCAGCTGGCTTTCGATGGCATGAAAAATGAGGCCGAGCTAACCAAGCTAACAAACACTAGCTGATGACGTCAGAGTTTGCAATTAGCATTGTTTTTTTTATTTTAATGACATTTTCTGCAAACTATACGCATCAAAGCTGTATTGCTGCCCTTCAGTGATGGGATATAATGAAGTACATGTGCTCAATTTCTGTAATCAACTCTTCATTGGTTTCTCTATTCATATCAATCAATAAGTCAGAGCTGGAAGAAGTACTCAGATCTGTACTTGAGTAACAGTAGAAGTACTCAGATTGTACTTGAGTAACAGTAGAAGTACTCAGATTGTACTTGAGTAACAGTAGAAGTACTCAGATTGTACTTGAGTAACAGTAGAAGTACTCAGATCTGTACTTAAGTAACAGTAGAAGTACTCAGATTGTACTTGAGTAAAAGTAGAAGTACTCAGATTGTACTTCAGTAAAAGTAGAAGTACTGATATATTGTTCTTGAGTAAAAGTAGAAGTACTCAGATCTTGTACTTGAGTAAAAGTAGAAGTACTCAGATCTTGTTCTTGAGTTAAAGTAGAAGTACTCAGATCTTGTTCTTGAGTAAAAGTAGAAGTACTCAGATCTTGTTCTTGAGTTAAAGTAGAAGTACTCAGATCTTGTTCTTGAGTAAAAGTAGAAGTACTCAGATCTTTTACTTGAGTAAAAGTAGAAGTACTCAGGTCTTGTACTTGAGTAAAAGTAGAAGTACTCAGATCTTGTACTTGAGTAAAAGTAGAAGTACTCAGATCTTGTTCTTGAGTAAAAGTAGAAGTACCAGAGTGTAGGAATACTCTGTTACAGTAAAAGTCCTGCATTCAAAATGTTCCTCAAGTGAAAGTAGAAAAGTATTCTCATCTAAATATAGTGAAAGACAGTAAAAGTAGTCGTTGTGCAGATTGGTCCATTTCAGAATAATATGATATGTTTTATAATGATTGATCATGAAAGTGTTCTCAAAGCTGGTGAAGGTGCAGCTAGTTTGAAGTACTTTGTATACTGCAGGGTAGCTGGTGGATTTGAATATTGATTATTTTATCAGCCTTTTCCTGATAAATAGTGCTAATTGATTTCACTTGAGTGTCTTATTGGGTTAATTTGTTTATATAAGGTGTCATTGTATAAAGTAAAGTCTGTTTGTTTCTCCCACAGATTTCCTTTCTCCGACAGCATCAGGCTGAGAACATGGCTGTGGAACTTGAGGATTATGAACTGGAGCCCGTCCATCAGTTCCCGTCTTTGCAGCGCACATTTTGAGAAGGATCAGTTCCTCGAAGACAATGAGTATAAACCCTTTAAGAAGGTGCTGATTATTACACAGATAGATTTCTAAATGTATAATACTAAGTCAGAGGTGGGAAGTAGTACAAATACTTCGTTACTGTACTTAAGTACATTTTTCTGGTATCAGTACTTTACTCCACTACTTATTTTTCTGACGACTTTTTACTTTGACTTCTTACACTTTGAACCCAAATACCTGTACTTTCTACTTCTTACATGTTGAACTCAAATACCTGTACTTTCTACTTCTTACCTGTTGAACCCAAATACCTGTACTTTCTACTTTCTACATGTTGAACTCAAATACCTGTACTTTCTACTTCTTACATGTTGAACTCAAATACCTGTACTTTCTACTTTCTACATGTTGAACTCAAATACTTGTACTTTCTACTTCTCACATGTTGAACTCAAATACCTGTACTTTCTACTTTCTACATGTTGAACTCAAATACCTGTACTTTCTTCTTCTCACATGTTGAACTCAAATACCTGTACTTTCTACTTCTCACATGTTGAACTCAAATACCTGTACTTTCTACTTCTTACATGTTGAACACAAATACCTGTACTTTCTACTTCTCACATGTTGAACACAAATACCTGTACTTTCTACTTCTTACATGTTGAACTCAAATACCTGTACTTTCTACTTCTTACATGTTGAACTCAAATACCTGTACTTTCTACTTCTTACATGTTGAACTCAAATACCTGTACTTTCTACTTCTTACATGTTGAACACAAATACCTGTACTTTCTACTTCTTACATGTTGAACTCAAATACCTGTACTTTCTACTTCTTACATGTTGAACTCAAATACCTGTACTTTCTACTTCTTACATGTTGAACACAAATACCTGTACTTTCTACTTCTTACATGTTGAACTCAAATACCTGAACTTTCTACTTCTTACATGTTGAACTCAAATACCTGTACTTTCTACTTCTTACACGTTGAACTCAAATACCTGTACTTTCTACTTCTTACATGTTGAACACAAATACCTGTACTTTCTACTTCTTACACGTTGAACACAAATACCTGTACTTTCTACTTCTTACATGTTGAACCCAAATACCTGTACTTTCTACTTCTTACATGTTGAACCCAAATACCTGTACTTTCTACTTCTTACATGTTGAACACAAATACCTGTACTTTCTACTTCTTACATGTTGAACACAAATACCTGTACTTTCTACTTCTTACATGTTGAACACAAATACCTGTACTTTCTACTTCTCACATGTTGAACACAAATACCTGTACTTTCTACTTCTTACATGTTGAACACAAATACCTGTACTTTCTACTTCTTACATGTTGAACTCAAATACCTGTACTTTCTACTTCTTACATGTTGAACTCAAATACCTGTACTTTCTACTTCTCACATGTTGAACTCAAATACCTGTACTTTCTGCTTCTTACATGTTGAACTCAAATACCTGTACTTTCTACTTCTTACACGTTGAACACAAATACCTGTACTTTCTACTTCTTACATGTTGAACACAAATACCTGTACTTTCTACTTCTCACATGTTGAACACAAATACCTGTACTTTCTACTTCTTACATGTTGAACACAAATACCTGTACTTTCTACTTCTTACATGTTGAACTCAAATACCTGTACTTTCTACTTCTTACATGTTGAACTCAAATACCTGTACTTTCTACTTCTCACATGTTGAACTCAAATACCTGTACTTTCTACTTCTTACATGTTGAACTCAAATACCTGTACTTTCTACTTCTTACATGTTGAACTCAAATACCTGTACTTTCTACTTCTTACACGTTGAACACAAATACCTGTACTTTCTACTTCTTACATGTTGAACACAAATACCTATACTTTCTACTTCTTACATGTTGAACACAAATACCTATACTTTCTACTTCTTACATGTTGAACTCAAATACCTGTACTTTCTACTTCTCACATGTTGAACACAAATACCTGTACTTTCTACTTCTTACATGTTGAACACAAATACCTGTACTTTCTACTTCTTACATGTTGAACTCAAATACCTGTACTTTCTACTTCTTACATGTTGAACTCAAATACCTGTACTTTCTACTTCTCACATGTTGAACTCAAATACCTGTACTTTCTACTTCTTACATGTTGAACTCAAATACCTGTACTTTCCACTTCTTACATGTTGAACACAAATACCTGTACTTTCTACTTCTCACATGTTGAACTCAAATACCTGTACTTTCTACTTCTCACATGTTGAACCCAAATACCTGTACTTTCTACTTCTTACATGTTGAACTCAAATACCTGTACTTTCTACTTCTTACATGTTGAACCCAAATACCTGTACTTTCCACTTCTTACATGTTGAACTCAAATACCTGTACTTTCTACTTCTTACATGTTGAACCCAAATACCTGTACTTTCTACTTCTTACATGTTGAACCCAAATACCTGTACTTTCTACTTCTTACATGTTGAACCCAAATACTTGTACTTTCTACTTCTTACATGTTGAACTCAAATACCTGTACTTTCTACTTCTTACATGTTGAACTCAAATACCTGTACTTTCTACTTCTTACATGTTGAACTCAAATACCTGTACTTTCTACTTCTCACATGTTGAACACAAATACCTGTACTTTCTACTTCTTACATGTTGAACTCAAATACCTGTACTTTCTACTTCTTACATGTTGAACACAAATACCTGTACTTTCTACTTCTTACATGTTGAACTCAAATACCTGTACTTTCTACTTCTTACATGTTGAACCCAAATACCTGTACTTTCTACTTCTTAAATGTTGAACTCAAATACCTGTACTTTCTACTTCTTACATGTTGAACTCAAATACCTGTACTTTCTACTTCTTACATGTTGAACTCAAATACCTGTACTTTCTACTTCTCACATGTTGAACTCAAATACCTGTACTTTCTACTTCTTACATGTTGAACCCAAATACCTGTACTTTCTACTTCTTAAATGTTGAACTCAAATACCTGTACTTTCTACTTCTTACATGTTGAACCCAAATACCTGTACTTTCTACTTCTTAAATGTTGAACTCAAATACCTGTACTTTCCACTTCTTACATGTTGAACCCAAATACCTGTACTTTCCACTTCTTACATGTTGAACTCAAATACCTGTACTTTCTACTTCTTACATGTTGAACCCAAATACCTGTACTTTCTACTTCTTACATGTTGAACCCAAATACCTGTACTTTCTACTTCTTACATGTTGAACCCAAATACTTGTACTTTCTACTTCTTACATGTTGAACTCAAATACCTGTACTTTCTACTTCTTACATGTTGAACTCAAATACCTGTACTTTCTACTTCTTACATGTTGAACTCAAATACCTGTACTTTCTACTTCTCACATGTTGAACTCAAATACCTGTACTTTCTACTTCTTACATGTTGAACACAAATACCTGTACTTTCTACTTCTTACATGTTGAACTCAAATACCTGTACTTTCTACTTCTTACATGTTGAACCCAAATACCTGTACTTTCTACTTCTTACATGTTGAACTCAAATACCTGTACTTTCTACTTCTTACATGTTGAACTCAAATACCTGTACTTTCTACTTCTTACATGTTGAACCCAAATACCTGTACTTTCTACTTCTTACATGTTGAACACAAATACATGTACTTTCTACTTCTTACATGTTGAACTCAAATACCTGTACTTTCTACTTCTTACATGTTGAACTCAAATACCTGTACTTTCTACTTCTTACATGTTGAACTCAAATACCTGTACTTTCTACTTCTTACATGTTGAACACAAATACCTGTACTTTCTACTTCTCACATGTTGAACTCAAATACCTGTACTTTCTACTTCTTACATGTTGAACTCAAATACCTGTACTTTCTACTTCTTACATGTTGAACTCAAATACCTGTACTTTCTACTTCTTACATGTTGAACTCAAATACCTGTACTTTCTACTTCTTACATGTTGAACTCAAATACCTGTACTTTCTACTTCTCACATGTTGAACTCAAATACCTGTACTTTCTACTTCTTACATGTTGAACTCAAATACCTGTACTTTCTACTTCTTACATGTTGAACTCAAATACTTGTACTTTCTACTTCTCTCATTTCCCAAACAGCTGGTTCCTTTAGTCTGAATGTGTGTTTGGTGCGTGATCATTATTCTTTAGAGTCATTGCGTGCCTATTGATTTGAACACGATCCGTGTATCCATCATTTCCTGGTCTTCTCTAAAGAAGAGGGACCAATGGAAACGTTGTCATGTTGCCGTTGTTCAGCATGGAAACATTCATTAGCTAACAATGACTTTATTGTTCTATTAATATAAAGGGAGGTCAGGTACTCTTTAAAACAGCTGCTAGCTATGGGTACTTTTTACTGAAGTACACTTCAAAGCCTCTTTACTTTCACTTGAGGAAAGAAGTTTAGTCAGTACTTCTACTTTTACCAGAGTATTTTAAAACACGAGTATCTGTACTTCTACTTGAGTAAAGGATGTGTGTACTTGTGCCCTCTGTACTTAGTGCGGAAAGCTGCTGAAACACAGGGGTTGTTGTTCGGTTTAAATTCATCTGAATGCCTGGAAACAATAACATCACAATGTCTGTGATCATGACGCCACTCTGTGCCAACATCACGTCTTATTGCTCCTGCCAACATCTTGTGAACATTCAAGTATAATGTCCAAACAATTATAAATGTTCCAGTAAGTTAATCAGGTGGCATTTGGGATAAAAAAACTGTGATATTCAGAAAACGAAAATGTTGTATTAATACATGTTTAATAATCTCAAAAATAATTTGCCACGCTATCAAAGTTGTTGACTCTCTCTACTTCCCTGCAATAACATTTTGAGTGTTTCTCATTGGGCAAAAAGCACAATAATCAAGACACATTTTATCTGATGGCTTTTTCTTTCTTTCGAATTCCTTAATGTAAATTATTTTGACTTTGATATTTGTGTAGTAAAAATCTGATAATGTGAATATCCTTTTTTTTTGTTGAGACTCTGCAACCTCACCACTAGATGGCACTAGATTCTACACTGTTACACTTAAAGGTCACCTGTTATGCAAAATCCTCTTCTTCATGTCTCTTCTTCATCAACATGTGTCCCCTCTTCTTCATGTCTCTTCTACATCAACATGTGTCCCCTCTTCTTCATGTCTCTTCTACATCAACATGTGTCCCCTCTTCTTCATGTCTCTTCTTCATCAACATGTGTCCCCTCTTCTTCATGTCTCTTCTACATCAACATGTGTCCCCTCTTCTCCATGTCTCTTCTACATCAACATGTGTCCCCTCTTCTCCATGTCTCTTCTACATCAACATGTGTCCCCTCTTCTTCATGTCTCTTCTTCATCAACATGTGTCCCCTCTTCTTCATGTCTCTTCTACATCAACATGTGTCCCCTCTTCTTCATGTCTCTTCTTCATCAACATGTGTCCCCTCTTCTCCATGTCTCTTCTACATCAACATGTGTCCCCTCTTCTCCATGTCTCTTCTACATCAACATGTGTCCCCTCTTCTTCATGTCTCTTCTACATCAACATGTGTCCCCTCTTCTTCATGTCTCTTCTACATCACCATGTGTCCCCTCTTCTTCATGTCTCTTCTACATCAACATGTGTCCCCTCTTCTTCATGTCTCTTCTTCATCAACATGTGTCCCCTCTTCTTCATGTCTCTTCTACATCAACATGTGTCCCCTCTTCTTCATGTCTCTTCTACATCAACATGTGTCCCCTCTTCTTCATGTCTCTTCTTCATCAACATGTGTCCCCTCTTCTTCATGTCTCTTCTACATCAACATGTGTCCCCTCTTCTTCATGTCTCTTCTTCATCAACATGTGTCCCCTCTTCTTCATGTCTCTTCTACATCACCATGTGTCCCCTCTTCTTCATGTCTCTTCTACATCAACATGTGTCCCCTCTTCTTCATGTCTCTTCTTCATCAACATGTGTCCCCTCTTCTTCATGTCTCTTCTACATCAACATGTGTCCCCTCTTCTTCATGTCTCTTCTACATCAACATGTGTCCCCTCTTCTTCATGTCTCTTCTACATCAACATGTGTCCCCTCTTCTTCATGTCTCTTCTACATCAACATGTGTCCCCTCTTCTTCATGTCTCTTCTACATCACATGTGTCCCCTCTTCTCCATGTCTCTTCTACATCAACATGTGTCCCCTCTTCTCCATGTCTCTTCTACATCAACATGTGTCCCCTCTTCCTCATGTCTCTTCTACATCAACATGTGTCCCCTCTTCCTCATGTCTCTTCTACATCAACATGTGTCCCCTCTTCTTCATGTCTCTTCTACATCAACATGTGTCCCCTCTTCTACATCAACAGCCTCTTCTTCATGTCTCTTCTACATCAACATGTGTCCCCTCTTCTTCACGTCTCTTCTACATCAACATGTGTCCCCTCTTCTTCATGTCTCTTCTACATCAACATGTGTCCCCTCTTCTTCATGTCTCTTCTACATCAACATGTGTCCCCTCTTCTTCATGTCTATTCTACATCAACATGTGTCCCCTCTTCTTCATGTCTCTTCTACATCAACATGTGTCCCCTCTTCTTCATGTCTCTTCTACATCAACATGTGTCCCCTCTTCTTCATGTCTATTCTACATCAACATGTGTCCCCTCTTCTTCATGTCTCTTCTACATCAACATGTGTCCCCTCTTCTTCATGTCTCTTCTACATCAACATGTGTCCCCTCTTCTCCATGTCTCTTCTACATCAACATGTGTCCCCTCTTCTTCATGTCTCTTCTACATCAACATGTGTCCCCTCTTCTTCATGTCTCTTCTACATCAACATGTGTCCCCTCTTCTTCATGTCTCTTCTTCATCAACATGTGTCCCCTCTTCTCCATGTCTCTTCTACATCAACATGTGTCCCCTCTTCTTCATGTCTCTTCTACATCAACATGTGTCCCCTCTTCTCCATGTCTCTTCTACATCAACATGTGTCCCCTCTTCTTCATGTCTCTTCTACATCAACATGTGTCCCCTCTTCTTCATGTCTCTTCTACATCAACATGTGTCCCCTCTTCTTCATGTCTCTTCTTCATCAACATGTGTCCCCTCTTCTCCATGTCTCTTCTACATCAACATGTGTCCCCTCTTCTTCATGTCTCTTCTACATCAACATGTGTCCCCTCTTCTTCATGTCTCTTCTACATCAACATGTGTCCCCTCTTCTCCATGTCTCTTCTACATCAACATGTGTCCCCTCTTCTTCATGTCTCTTCTACATCAACATGTGTCCCCTCTTCTTCATGTCTCTTCTACATCAACACGTGTCCCCTCTTCTTCATGTCTCTTCTACATCAACACGTGTCCCCTCTTCTTCATGTCTCTTCTACATCAACACGTGTCCCCTCTTCTTCATGTCTCTTCTACATCAACATGTGTCCCCTCTTCTTCATGTCTCTTCTACATCAACATGTGTCCCCTCTTCTTCATGTCTCTTCTACATCAACATGTGTCCCCTCTTCTTCATGTCTCTTCTACATCAACATGTGTCCCCTCTTCTTCATGTCTCTTTCTACATCAACATGTGTCCCCTCTTCTTCATGTCTCTTCTACATCAACATGTGTCCCCTCTTCTTCATGTCTCTTCTACATCAACATGTGTCCCCTCTTCTTCATGTCTCTTCTACATCAACATGTGTCCCCTCTTCTTCATGTCTCTTCTACATCAACATGTGTCCCCTCTTCTTCATGTCTCTTCTACATCAACATGTGTCCCCTCTCTCAGAGGGGCGTGGGGAGGGGCTCCTTATTTTCATCTAAAGTAACAGACAGAGAATCAGCACTTTGGAAACAGGGCTGAAACAGAGGAGATTATGGGTAATGCTGCAATGATCTGTTTGGTGTTTCAGCCAATCAGAGACAGGCTCTGTATATATCTGAGACCTGTGATATATTGATGAAAAACAGAATAAAAGGGGACCTTTTAATTTAAAGAACACAAACATCATAAATTGTCAAATAAAAACAAAATCCTGTGATAAAAATTAGAATACTTTATTCATCCCTTTATTTGAGTTTTGTGACAGTTAAGAATTAAATTAATTGTTCGTCAATAAAAAACATGTATTTTACAATACATACGATAGTGTATAAGTACATGTGTATATAACATTACATTGCATTTAGCTGACGCTTTTATCCAAAGCGACTTACAATAAGTGCGTTCGACCAACAAAATACAAACTTGAAGAATTAAGTTATAATTATTAATATAATTAAGGATACCGACTTGTTCTGTGTTTTCCGGCAGGGCAAGAGGAGGCTGAAGCCCACCGCGGTGCCGACCATTTTCACCTTTGAAGGCGAGAAGAAAAGAAAGGAAGTGAAGCCGTCGTCTCTTCGTCTTCGTCCTGCTGCTTCACCTTCAACACAAAACATAGTCAAGAAGCCAGTCGCTGTGGTCCAGGGCGCATCTGAGGACTTGATCGAGGGAACGACAAGCAGAGGGTCCCAAACATCTCCTCCCCGCACCCCCAAAAAACAGGAGCAAATGTCAGTGTGGAGAGATCACTGCTACTTCATCTCAGAGTCCCCCAAAACTCTGAAGCGCAGAGCAGAGGCGGCGCGGCAACAGCTCGCTGTGGCTCACAAGAAGATGAAGATAAAGTGTCAGCAGACGAGGAGAATGAGGTCCAGCCTCCTGGCGCTGAAGACGAAGGACACGGCGCTCAGGACCAGGTTGAAGGAAGTGGAAAAAGCCCTCGCTGCATTCAGGAAGTAGAGGAGGTTCTGGGTTAAAAAGCCCAGTTAGGTTAGCTGATTAAAATGAGCCCAATCTGAATCAGATGTATTGGCAAGTTTTACAAATAACTTGTTGTGGTGCATAAGTTAACACAGTGCGGGAAACGATAAGGGCCGCGTTGGAATCCTGAGATTAAATTCTGAGTTCTGTGAAAAAAATTGTGAAGTTTTTTTTCTGGAAATCTCAGAATTCTCTGTTCTGGTGAGTTTTCTAAATCTTGTCACGTTTCCAAATTTGTAAAAAAAAAAATGTTGGGATCGGAGATGAAATCCAAATCCTGTAGTATTTTCAGAAAACAAGAGAATCCTTTAATTTAGATTTTTTACTCTGACTGTTCTGACAGAAAAAATACGAATAATCTTTTTCTAAAATTTGGAAATGTGACAACATTTTGAGATCCGACCAAAAGTAGTTATTTTATTAGTTCTGAAAAAAATTCTGAGAAGAAAAATATGGAAGCCTGTTAGCGCCACAGGAAAAGAAAAAAAAAATCCTGTAAGTCAATATAATGAGATAGCTAAGTCATTATAATGACTTAGCTATCTCATTATAATGACTTAGCTATCTCATTATAATGAGATAGCTAATGACTTAGCTATCTCATTATATTGACTTAGCTATCTCATTATATTGACTTAGCTATCTCATTATAATGAGATAGCTAAGTCATTAGCTATCTCATTATATTGAGATAGCTAAGTCATTAGCTATCTCATTATATTGACTTAGCTATCTCATTATAATGAGATAGCTAATGACTTAGCTATCTCTTTATTGACTTAGCTATCTCATTATATTGACTTAGCTATCTCATTATAATGAGATAGCTAAGTCATTAGCTATCTCATTATAATGAGATAGCTAAGTCATTAGCTATCTCATTATAATGAGATAGCTAAGTCATTAGCTATCTCATTATAATGAGATAGCTAAGTCATTAGCTATCTCATTATAATGAGATAGCTAAGTCATTAGCTATCTCATTATAATGAGATAGCTAAGTCATTAGCTATCTCATTATAATGAGATAGCTAAGTCATTAGCTATCTCATTATAATGAGATAGCTAAGTCATTAGCTATCTCATTATAATGAGATAGCTAAGTCATTAGCTATCTCATTATAATGAGATAGCTAAGTCATTAGCTATCTCATTATAATGAGATAGCTAAGTCATTAGCTATCTCATTATAATGAGATAGCTAAGTCATTAGCTATCTCATTATAATGAGATAGCTATCTCATTATAATGACTTAGCTATCTCATTATAATGACTTAGCTATCTCATTATATTGACTTAGCTATCTCATTATAATGACTTAGCTAAGTCAATATAATGACTTAGCTATCTCATTATATTGACTTAAGACAACTACCAGCAAGTCAAAGCAATACTGAGGGTCCGGTCCACAGAGAGGGGACAGAGAAGAACGGAGGTTGTTCTCCCAGGAGCTGGGGAAAACCAGGGTGTCCTCACAGATTGTGAGAAGAAAGCCCCCCGTGGTGGTGGATGGTGGGCCGGACCCTCAGTGTCCTCTCCACTTTCAGATCAGAGGAACTCCAAGAAAGGCTGGACTCCAGAGAGCATTCTGTGTCAGACCCCCCTCGAACCTTGTGTCTTCTTCAGATGAGTCCTGCAGCTCGCTGGCAGAAGAAGGCTACAAGGTTACTTCTGAAGTCTCCTCTGCACTGAAATGCTTCTTCATTTGAGTTCCTTCTCTTTGCTCCAGGTCTTTCTCCTTCTCTGCTCACTAAAGAAATCAGCCCTTGGTCAAACTGCATGTTTCTCTTTGGCAGCCAGGTGCATGAACACACTAACAGTTGTTTTTTGTTTTTGAGTAATCGAGCAGCTCTTCAAAGCCATCAAAAACATCCCTCAGAAGATGGCCTTTTTTTACCCATGAAATGATCCGTGCATGCTTACAGATTCTCACAGACACACACACACACGGAGAGGGAGGAGAGGTGTGTGCTGGTTGTGCACAGGCCTAAAAAAAGTGTTGTTCTACCACCTGTGAGAGCACCATGCAGGGGGGTGTACTACGAAGCAGGATTTTCGCTTAGCGGCTAAATTCAGGGAAAACTCCGGCTTTCCGGTCCTACGAAGCTGGTTCTCTTTTTAGCAGGCTAGATCTCCATGGTAACTGATGCTTAGCGGCTAACCTGGTCGGGACCAGGGGGGTATAGCCTACTACGAAGCTGGTTCAACCTAACCTGGATATGTTTGAGTTAGCCGGTTGGCCTAATCCAAAACATACGCGCTCTCGCTAAACGGTCCTACGACGCTGGTTATCAAGTGGATCGCTCAAGCCAGCCGTGTCCTATCTAGTTAGGTGTTCACATGAAAGGGGTGGTATCTGGAGCATTCGACCAATCACAGACATGGAGAAGCGCACTGACAGCGCAGCGTCATACTTCCTGAATGAAAAGTGAACTTTAATACTAGTCAAATATGAAGAAGTTAAACTTTAAAACATCCATGACTTAAACACTTGATCCAGGATCAAAGCCACAGAGCTGCACCTGCAAGGTGAATACAGCTGGGAACAGAACAAGTGTTTGAATGCGTACATTAACAGGTTTATGATATCACAGCCCCGTCTAAGACACGATCTGACTTTCATTACATCTGACTCGAGTGTTTCGTCAACTTAATGTGTTGCTTAAAATAATGCTTCTGCATACAGTCTGTGACACTGTGAGTGTTGCACGGCCAGATACGGCTCAGCTGACTCAGATCAGGAGATGATACATTATGAAGTGATATGCCGCGGACTGTACTTAATGTTACTCTGATCCGGTTACTTATGTTGTGGTAGATATGTGGTAAGTGTTCTTAACGCTAATGTTATAATAGTCAGATTGCTCTGAAGATGGAGGTGATATTCTATTCATGTTCACGTTCACACAGTCGCTGATTTTTGCCGGCTGTCTTTCCTGCAACGGCAGCTTTTCTGTATTTCCTTTCTCCTGTAATATGACTTGATCGCTTTAAACTCCGCACACTGAGCTCTGATTGGTCAGCAGGCGGTGCTTTCACTGAGTTGATCTCTTAGCCTGCAACCTAACCTGGTCCCGACCAGGGGGGTATACTACGAAGCAGGATTTTCGTTTAGCAAGATAACTTCTGGGATTTCCGGTCCTACGACGCTGGTTCTCTTTTTAGCAGGCTAGATCTCCATGGTAACTGATGCTTAGCGGCTAACCTGGTCGGGACCAGTTTAGGTTGCAGGCTAAGAGCTCAACTCAGTGAAAGCACTGCCTGCTGACCAATCAGAGCTCAGTGTGCGGAGTTTAAAGCGATCAAGTCATATTACAGGAGAAAGGAAATACAGAAAAGCTGCCGTTGCAGGAAAGACGGCCGGCAAAAATCACCGACTGTGTGAACGTGAACATGAATAGAATATCAACTCCATCTTCAGAGCAATCTGACTATTATAACATTAGCGTTAAGAAAGCTTACTTAAATATCTGCCACAACATAAGTAACCGGATCAGAGTAACATTAAGTACAGTCCGCGGCATATCACTTCATAATGTATCATATATTTTCTGATCTGAGTCAGCTGAGCCGTATCTGGCCGTGCAACACTCACAGCGTCACAGACTGGATGCAGAAGTATTATTTTAAGCAACACATTAAGTTGAGGAAACACTCGAGTCAAATGTAATGAAAGTCAGATCGTGTCTTAGACGGGGCAGTGATATAATAAACCTGTTAATGTACGCATTCAAACACTTGTTCTGTTCCCAGCTGTGTTCACCTTGCAGGTGCAGCTCTGTGGCTTTGATCCTGGATAAAGTGTTTAAGTCATGGATGTTTAAAGTTTAACTTCTTCATATGTCTAATATTATAGTTCACTTTTCATTCAGGAAGTATGACGCTGCGCTGTCAGTGCGCTTCTCCATGTCTGTGATTGGTCGAATGCTCCAGATACCACCCCTTTCATGTGAACACCTAACTAGATAGGACACGGCTGGCTTGAGCGATCCACTTGGTAACCTGCGTCGTAGTACAGTTTAGCGAGAGCGCGTATGTTTTGGATTAGGCCAACCGGCTAACTCAAACATATCCAGGTTAGGTTGAACCAGCTTCGTAGAACAGGCCTCTGGAAGCTCACAGAGTCAAAGCACTGGTGGCTCTGATTCATATCTATCGGTTACACACACTCACTGTATACGATAAGACACTTTAAGCTCCACTGTTGCTATTGTTTTTATTGATGCTTTAATTAAACACAGCAGGTTAATAATGCACAGGCCACCTGCCAGAAAGTCAGAACAGATCATAGTTATAGGTCATGGTGTAAAAACATGGACAATTTACTGCATTTCTATCACGCTTATCCAGTCTGTACCCTCTCAGAGCAGCACGAACACATTTACAGCCATTCAGAGAGAGGCAGACGCTGCTCAGAGAAACTAACAGTGCATATATCCCGTATATCCCTTCACAGAACTAAAGTATGCTTTTAAAGAAAGTTTAATCAGATGATGGTCATCAAGTTTCTAATCAAAGCTGATCTGTAAAACATAAAAAGGCCAATCCTGCAAATTCACCACATGTGAAAAACGAGACATGCTGCAAACCCAACCCCAGCAGGGGGTCTGGGGGGGATTGTCCCCCAGGAGATTTTTTGAAATATTAACATATAAACCAGGGGTCTTCAACCTTTTTTAGGATGAGAGCTACTTTCAAAAAATAAAACAAGTCATGAGCTACTTTTACTTTACAATAATTTAAAAAAGTTAAAAGCATCGATCTGGTGCACTTTGAGAGCAACATGAAGGGATTCATGGATACAGCTCTCAACACTCATGAAACAGAGCTCTATACTTTTAAATAAGATCTCAACCAATAACAAATCATTTAAACTGGTTTGTTTTATAAACTCCTCTCTCTTATCTTATGTTACCTAGTTAGCATTCTTTCTTTTTATTTATGCACATTTGACTAATCACTCCCCTTTAAACTGTGTTTTGTATTTATTTAATTTTT